TTTCCCTGCGGGTTTGCCGTACCTGGAATTCCTTACCGGCAGATGTAGCTATGGCACCATCTGTGGACGCCTTTAAGCGAAGGCTGGACAACCTTGCAGTGACACAAGGACTGTATCCAAATGGCCTATCCCCTTAAAATCGCATACACCATTCAAAGGTAGATAATTAAACTGGTCGTTTTACTTCTTTACATTCTCTCCAGTCTTACTCTCCTGACAGCTTTAACTACACTTATTATTGTTATTATCATTATTACTGGTATATATTATATATATATATGTATACCGGTTGACTGACTGTTGTTACGTTTTCTTATTTTTTTCTCTGTCTGTTAGTCTGAATACCTTTAATAATTATATCTATTATTATTATTATTATCTCTTTTCCATTGACGACGATACCGAAAGACTAACTGGTGAAAGGATCAACTCCATTCACAGTAGTAACAATCTTAACACGCCTCATACTACAAACCACATATAATTAATCCCTGCACTACTCCTTTTGGAGTCAACCAAAGCTACGACAGTCGAATGGCGGGACGAGCTACGCAGACGTTTACCGAAGATCAGGAACCTCTACCTCACAATCAAGAGGCGAGCACAAAGAAATCAAATTGGTTTATACTAGCTCGTAAAAACGCAGGGACACCAACCCCAAATTGCATACCCATCCTAAAGACCCGTGTAGGACTCGTCTGTCCGGATACTATGCCTGCAGTGCCACAGTCTAGTACTGAAACGGCCCAGGCAATACTAGTAGGACAGGATACTACTACACCTGCACCAACTGAAAGCCAATGTGTGAAGTACAACAAACCTAAAAGGAAACGCTCAAGACGTCATAAGACCTCGAAGGCGTCACCAAGTAAGGGAGACGAGTGCCAGGCGTGCAATATCATTGTTTCTAAAGCTGACTCAGCGTTCGAATGCAATTTTTGCAAACGGTGGGTGCACTGCCGTTGCGAAAAAGAGGTACCGAAATCATACTACGAGTTTATGAGAAATAACCCGTGCCCGTGGTTTTGGTACATCTGTCCACTCTGTCGCCCTGGCATAGTCACACAGAGCGTGTCTGCGGATGGTAGAAACAACACGCCGCCCTTGTGTCCCAACACGGCCTTATGTAACTCCCCACCTGCTAACATCACATTGCCAAAACTTGGCACAGACAGTAAGAAGGACACTCCAGTCCTACTGACCGAAAATGCCAATTTTCACAAGGTGAAGATTCATAAGGTTGGACCTAAAAAATCAAGGAAAGATAGAGTTAGAGAAGCACCACTTGCATCCACAAGCAAGCTTGGCAACACAATAAAGGCTGGCCAGAACCCGATGAAGCCTAAAGTTGCTGATGCTGCAAAGGAATACGAGAAGTTAAAGGGCAAACCTAAGTCTGATGTTAATCGGTCTAATTCGCTCATCCTCTTTAACGTACCTGTGAGCAAGGACAGCTTGCTTGAACAGCGGGCCCTGTTTGATCAGGAACAGTGGTCCAACCTGTGCAATAAACTAGGTCTGAATATTAGTTCAGTGAAATTGTGCAGGCTGTACAGGGGTGTCCACACACCTCAAGGTAAGCCACCCCCATTACGGGTTACACTGGACTCTGCCGAAGAGGCCGAAAAGGTACTATTGATGGCTCAGGTACTAGCCATCGACAGAAGCTCTAACATAAGGGTGAGACAAGACAGACCATGGGCTGTCAGACAAATGGCGAGGGAGTCACCGGAACTTTTTTCTTCTACCTGTATGGTGGTACACGGTGTTCCGGAGCTGGAAACTGGCACTGCCTGTGAAAAACACATGCATGACGTACAGCAGTGGAGATGGCTGTCGTCTCAGATGGCCCTTGGCGCTTCTGGAGCCATCTCCGTTCACCGGCTACCTCGTCCCGCTCATCTCACACTGATTAGCTCCCCAAAGCTGCTAAGTGTCACATTCAACTCCCCAGAGCAGTTGGCCATAGCACTTCGACGGCGGTATGAGATCAAGGGAAAATTGGGAGGACACATCCGATGTTGCGAAAGCAGACCTCGAACCATAAGGAGGCAGCAAACGGAGGCTTTAATACGTCCCCAAGCTTCAGTGACACTCGAGCGATGCAGTTCTGAGAATAACAGCCTGTGTCACCCAAGTGTCCTGCCTAAATCCAAGGGAAAAAACCACAACGGGCCGGTTCCATCGGAACTGGCCAATTAGTCCCAACACTAAGTTCCCTACCAGCAGGTAGCTTCACGTCAACTACCCCACAACACGCTGAGGTTGTAAGACTCACTGTCAGCTGCCTGTATAGCAATGTGAGGGGGCTGAGAGGAAAAATAGGTGAACTCCGAAATCTCCAAGCACACCTACAACTGAAAATGATCATTCTCACCGAAACATGGCTAACCCCCACTATCGCCGATAATGAAATCAGTATAGGTGATATGGTTTTGGTCAGGAGAGACAGGGATAATAAGGAAGGAGGGGGAGTTGCCATATACTTTGATAGGCAACTTAAATGTGTTCGCGCAACGGACCCAACACTTATTGAACTCCCAGACTCCATATGGTGTCATTTCACCGTAGGCCACACCAAGCATTTACTTGGTGGCATCTACCGATCTCCCACCTGTGGGGCAGAGCACAATCAGCTACTGCTCAGCACTATCACAGGGATACGAGACTTGGGCTATGACCAAATCACCATTGCTGGAGATTTCAATGCCCCATCACTGAACCTTGGCTCGGGGTATGCTAAGGGAAAATTCGGCCGAAATCTACTGCAAGCTATTCGGGACGCGGGACTGACTGAGGACGTTGGAGACGACACTAGGTGGGGCCCTAGTGGAAAGTCATCAAAACTAGACTACATTCTAACTAGTTTCCAACTACTTGTCGAGAAGGTCCAGGTCATGACTCCTCTAGGAAGTAGTGACCATGCAGTCATAGGTTTCGACCTCGTTCTCCGTGAGCACTTGCAGTGGGACGCTACGCAACCATGTCTGTGTTACAGCAAGGCTGACTACGCTGAAATGCGGAGGCTCTTGTTCGATGCAGACTGGCCCTTAGCATGGGATGAGCTGTCTGTGGATGAACACTGGGAAGCGGTAAAAAAGACTATTCATACAGCGATCTCGGATACCGTCCCTTTAGTCACAGCACAGCCAAAAAGAAAATCATCATGGTTAAAGAGAGGCACGCAGCATATTCTGCAAGCAAAGCGGAAGGCTTGGTTTACGTGGCGCGTATCTGGAAGCCAGATCGACCATGATGCATACCTGGAAGTCAGGAACCGGTGCAATGCAAGAGTCAGGAGGGACAGAAGGTCATTCCAGGCTAACCTTGCTAAAAAACTCCTGGCAAACCCGAAGAATTTGTACCGATTCATGTCGGAAAGGAAACCAACCAACCAGAGGGCGTGCGCCTTAGTAGGCCAAAACGGTCAATATCTCACTAGTCTGGAGATGGCTGAAACATTTAGTTTAGCCTTCGCCAAACAGCTAAACAGCAATGTGGGTATTACCGTTACGAACCAAAATGGTGGCATGACTATTTCACAGGAGGAAGACCAAATAGCCACCCCTCAAATAAACCCTGCAATAGTACTGAGAAAGCTGCAGCGACTCATACCTGGGAAGTCCCCAGGTTGTGATGACATCAGGCCATCTGTTCTGAAACAGTGCGCCGAAGCTCTCTGTAGGCCTTTATGCGACGGCGGCCTGCTTAAAACTTGGGCTACCAAATTTTTCCGTCACTTATATTGCATCTGATTTCTTGGATTTATTTTGTTTTAATTATTCAATTATGTATCCAAAACGTGTTACTTACTCTCGCGATTATTTAAAATGTTTTCAACCGGATAATTTACGAGTATATAATAACCTTAAGAAAAAGCACCATGGTGGGTGGCAAAGATCCTTAAAGTGTACTCCAATGCATCAGATGACTGTTCCTGTGATTATGAGCACTAATTGCAGGTCATTATCGAACAAGATTAATCACTTGGATTCTCTATTATATTCAAATATTTATCGTAATACTGGTGTAATAACGCTTCAGGAAACTTGGCTACACGACTCATATGATGATAATTTAATCTTAATAAATGGTTTCAATATGTACAGACAAGACCGGAGTAGTTCAAGGAAGAAGCGAGGCGGCGGTGTTGCTACCTTCATCAATTCTCAGTGGTCTGTTGCCAACAACGTCTGTTTTAAATTCTCAAATGATAATATTGACTGTATAACTGTCAAATGTCGACCTAGACACCTATCTAAATACAAATTCATTTATATCACGAATATTTATATCACACCTTGTTGTAGCACTTCAGAATTATCTATGTTTGCTGATGAATTCACTATTTTCGCTGCCGCCTCTTTTGGTAACTCCCTGTCCATAGTGACAGGTGATTTTAATTCATGCGACTGCAGCTTTCTCACAGTGATAGGTCATGAAAATATTGTCAACTTTCCCACCAGACTGGATAATTCCCTTGATCTTGTATTTATCAATGACTCCGGAATATACGAAGCTCGTAAAAGAGCTCCACTGTTTAACTCAGATCATTGTATTGTACGGGTTTTACCTAAAATTTATGGAAAATTACACAAGAGAACTTTCTCACACCTTTCCAAGAAAACTGTACATGGATGTTACTCTATGGAGAATGTTCAGAACCTTAGAAGCATGCTCAAAGATACAAGGTGGGACCTGTTTAAAGAAGACTCTCTTGATGACACAATCTCCAATATTACAAGTTATCTCAAATTTTGTCTTGACACCTGTTGTCCGAGAGAAACGCTCTTTATCAGATTTGACAGTTTCTCCTCTCCTCAACTTAAAAAGCTTCGCAGACAGAAAGAAAAATTATATAAAATGAAGGATAATGCTGGTTTGAAAAGAATTAACATCCTAATAAAGTCCGAAATGCACAGATTGAATTCAATTTACAACCAAAAGTTCATATCCTGTAAAAATGCGTCTAACATATGGAAACTTTTCAAAGAAATTACTGGTGGTAAGCAGATGAACAGTATTCCTTTTCCCCTTGATGTTTCCAAACTAAACAATTCCTTCATACATTCTCCCACGAATGCCAAACTTTCTAGTGTTACAAGTATTAATGAAACCTGCTTTCCTGGATTTACTACAAATGACGTTCTAAAATGTCTCCAGTCTATGAACCCTTCTTGTAGCCTGGGTCCAGATGGTTTGCCTAGTGTTATTCTTAAACATTGTGCAGATATCCTGTGTTATCCTCTCATGGACATATTCAATGATTCTTTTTCCAAAAATGTCGTGCCAGCCGCTTGGAAGGACATTAAAATTGTACCTATTCCTAAGTCGTCTACTGCGACATGTTTTAAATTCAGACCCATTGCTATTACTTCCCCTTTTCTAAAAGCTATGGAAAAGTTGCTCTTACTTAATCTTCAGCCTTCACTTAAAGCCTTTAATGATCCCAAACAGTTTGCCTACAAACATAGTAGAAGTACTTTGGACGCAGCTGCAGTCCTGCATCATAACATTGTCTCCAGCTTAGACAAGGGGGCTAAATTTGTTCGCTGCACATTTCTAGACTATACATCTGCTTTCGACACAGTACCTAGGGACATTTTACTAAACAAGCTTGCTGAAACTCAAACTGACTGTTGGGTTGTCAAATGGCTCCATTCTTATTTCTCAGAAAGAAAGCAATACACTGTATATCAGGGAAAGTCGTCCACTTCATTGCTTACTCAGGCTGGTGTCCCTCAAGGCGCTGTCCTTTCTCCTTTTCTGTTTTCTTTCTTCTTGCATGACTTGCCTCACCACGAGGAAATGAACTTTGTTAAGTATGCCGATGATTTAACTATTTCAATGTCTGTTAACTCTCAACTTGACTGTATTAAGATTAACAACTTTCTATCAGAAATTAGCAAATGGTCTTCGTCTAACGGCCTTAAACTTAATCCTTCCAAATGTCAGACTGTTAATTTCAGTTTCCGATGTAAACGAAAGTTAAATGAAGCCGTTGGTTCCTATGACCCTTGCAAAATCGATGATACTGATATAGAAACCCAGTCTGAAGTTAAGTATCTTGGATTAGTTCTCTCTTCTGACCTATCTTGGTCTTCTCATGTCTTAGCGATTTCTCAAAGAATATTTCGTTTGACTTTTTACATTAAGAAGTTAAGGCACTCAGGCATAACGCAACCACTCCTCTTACAGTTTGTCAACTCGTGTATTTTACCTATTCTTCTTTACTGTTCACCCTTATTCTTTCCTGGTTTGCTTAAAAAAGATTATGTCATACTTCGTAGAACTCTGAGGACTGTCAGTAGGTCTAGTGGTATCCCATTGGGCCATATCGTTGGCATTGTCACCGATAGGCATTTGATGTCATGCAACAGATTCGCTAGAGGAATTTTGTCAGACTCTGAGCACCCACTCTACCCGCAGCTCCAACCTTGTGTCTCCTCAGGTAAAACAAGAAGTCTTTTCAGAAGACTTTATGCACGTACGTCTAAGTATAAAAATTCCACTATACCATATTTAGCACGTACTCTATGTGATGAAAATAGTGTCAGAAATGAACTAACTAACCTTCTTAGCTCCACTAAATAGACCGTTTCCTTCAACCTTAAAGCATCATACTTTATTGTTATTGTATTTCTTATATTTATAATCCTCTCAATTTTTTCGTTTTGTTTATTTTATTTTTCATAACTGTGGACATAATTTTAAGCTGTATTATGACTGTTAACTTTGTATTTCACCTCACTATACTATATCAACAGAACATTAGACCCAATAATCTATAACATGCTAAAGTTTCCAAACTGAATTGACAATACCGTTTGAAACAAACTCACTGTTATTAGTATTTATTATTATTATTACTATTATTATTATTACTATATCTAATAATTATGTCGTTAATGTGGACAAATTTCTGTGATTAATTTTTGTTTTAAATTTTTAATTTTATATACACTTTGAGTAAATCAGATGCAATATTGTGACAAATGCTGAGAATTCCATTCTGTATTATAAGTACTGTTTTTGGAATAAAGTAAATTATTATTATTATTATTATTGTTCCAACACTCCATGGAATCGGGGAAACCGCCAAAGGAATGGAAAAGAAGCATCCTTTCTCCGATCTTCAAGGGTGGGGATAGGCAAAATCCCACCAGTTATAGACCAGTAGCTCTACTCCCAGTGGTATCGAAAGTGCTGGAAAGTATTATTGATGATCACATCAGGGAATATCTGGATAGGTCTAAAATACTCCATGAAGCCCAACACGGTTTCAGGAAAGGGCGATCCTGCGTCACTAACTTATTATCAGCTTGGGGCGACTGGACATCATGCTGGGATGTGAATGTTCCTGTCCATGTGATCTTTCTAGACTTTGAGAAGGCATTTGACACTGTTCACCATGACCTTCTCCTACACAAAATAAGCCAGGTAGGTTTAGGTAAACCACTTCTGTCATGGTTGAAGGACTACCTAACTGAAAGGCAATTTTGCACCAAAGTCAATCGAGTCCGATCATCTTGGCACAGCTCGTCATCAGGAGTGTCGCAGGTTTCTATCCTGGGACCACTGATGTTCTTGATTTTTATCAATGATTTACCATGCCGTCTAAGCTGCCCGACTCTTCTATACGCTGATGACGTAAAGATATGGAGGGCGATAAAGTGTCCAGAGGACTCAGATAGACTGCAGGCAGATCTAAGGCTTCTGGAAGACTGGGCGGTAGCCAGTGGAATGACTTTCAACCTGAAAAAGTGCAAAGTAGTAAAGTTACGCACCTGTAGACTGCAGAATGCAAGTTACACCCTGTGCAATGAAAGCTTGTCCTGCTCAACTTCGGAACGTGACTTAGGTCTAGTTCTAACGGAGAAAATGGACACAAGCGTAAATTACACCGGGGATGTAGCGAGGGTATATGCGGTCATACACTTCACACATAGACAATTAGGTGCACTCACTCCTGAGCTCTTTCTAAGGTTGTATAAAACATACGTCAGACCGCATCTTGAAGTGCATAATATCATTGCACCCCCACTGCTTAAAAGAGACGCCAACCTCTTGGAAAGAGCCCAACGACGGGCAACAAAAGGAGTGGTTGGACTCCGAAATAAACCATATGACGAAAGGCTGAAGAAATTAGGCCTATTCACACTCAGTTACCGTCGCCTGAGGGGGGATTTAATTACTGCCTACAAAATAACAAATGATCAGAATCACCCAAACAAAGGTGTTCTGCCATTGAGTAGGTATAGGCTCCCTCGTGGAAATCCCAGAAGGATAGCTCATCAGAGGGCAAGGACCCGGGTGCGCTCCCACTTCTTTTCCCTGCGGGTTTGCCGTCCCTGGAATTCCTTACCGGCAGATGTAGCTATGGCACCATCTGTGGACGCCTTTAAGCGAAGGCTGGACAACCTTGCAGTGACACAAGGACTGTATCCAAATGGCCTATCCCCTTAAAATCGCATACACCATTCAAAGGTAGATAATTAAACTGGTCGTTTTACTTCTTCACATTCCCTTCAGTCTTACTCTCCTGACAGCTTTAACTACACTTATTATTGTTATTATCATTATTACTGGTATATATTATATATATATATGTATACCGGTTGACTGACTGTTGTTACGTTTTCTTATTTTTTTCTCTGTCTGTTAGTCTGAATACCTTTAATAATTATATCTATTATTATTATTATTATCTCTTTTCCATTGACGACGATACCGAAAGACTAACTGGTGAAAGGATCAACTCCATTCACAGTAGTAACAATCTTAACACGCCTCATACTACAAACCACATATAATTAATCCCTGCACTACTCCTTTTGGAGTCAACCAAAGCTACGGCAGTCGAATGGCGGGACGAGCTACGCAGACGTCTACCGAAGATCAGGAACCTCTACCTCACAATCAAGAGGCTAGCACAAAGAAATCAAATTGGTTTATACTAGCTCGTAAAAACGCAGGGACACCAACCCCAAATTGCATACCCATCCTAAAGACCCGTGTAGGACTCGTCTGTCCGGATACTATGCCTGCAGTGCCACAGTCTAGTACTGAAACGGCCCAGGCAATACTAGTAGGACAGGATACTACTACACCTGCACCAACTGAAAGCCAATGTGTGAAGTACAACAAACCTAAAAGGAAACGCTCAAGACGTCATAAGACCTCGAAGGCGTCACCAAGTAAGGGAGACGAGTGCCAGGCGTGCAATATCATTGTTTCTAAAGCTGACTCAGCTTTCGAATGCAATTTTTGCAAACGGTGGGTGCACTGCCGTTGCGAAAAAGAGGTACCGAAATCATACTACGAGTTTATGAGAAATAACCCGTGCCCGTGGTTTTGGTACATCTGTCCACTCTGTCGCCCTGGCATAGTCACACAGAGCGTGTCTGCGGATGGTAGAAACAACACGCCGCCCTTGTGTCCCAACACGGCCTTATGTAACTCCCCACCTGCTAACATCACATTGCCAAAACTTGGCACAGACAGTAAGAAGGACACTCCAGTCCTACTGACCGAAAATGCCAATTTTCACAAGGTGAAGATTCATAAGGTTGGACCTAAAAAATCAAGGAAAGATAGAGTTAGAGAAGCACCACTTGCATCCACAAGCAAGCTTGGCAACACAATAAAGGCTGGCCAGAACCCGATGAAGCCTAAAGTTGCTGATGCTGCAAAGGAATACGAGAAGTTAAAGGGCAAACCTAAGTCTGATGTTAATCGGTCTAATTCGCTCATCCTCTTTAACGTACCTGTGAGCAAGGACAGCTTGCTTGAACAGCGGGCCCTGTTTGATCAGGAACAGTGGTCCAACCTGTGCAATAAACTAGGTCTGAATATTAGTTCAGTGAAATTGTGCAGGCTGTACAGGGGTGTCCACACACCTCAAGGTAAGCCACCCCCATTACGGGTTACACTGGACTCTGCCGAAGAGGCCGAAAAGGTACTATTGATGGCTCAGGTACTAGCCATCGACAGAAGCTCTAACATAAGGGTGAGACAAGACAGACCATGGGCTGTCAGACAAATGGCGAGGGAGTCACCGGAACTTTTTTCTTCTACCTGTATGGTGGTACACGGTGTTCCGGAGCTGGAAACTGGCACTGCCTGTGAAAAACACATGCATGACGTACAGCAGTGGAGATGGCTGTCGTCTCAGATGGCCCTTGGCGCTTCTGGAGCCATCTCCGTTCACCGGCTACCTCGTCCCGCTCATCTCACACTGATTAGCTCCCCAAAGCTGCTAAGTGTCACATTCAACTCCCCAGAGCAGTTGGCCATAGCACTTCGACGGCGGTATGAGATCAAGGGAAAATTGGGAGGACACATCCGATGTTGCGAAAGCAGACCTCGAACCATAAGGAGGCAGCAAACGGAGGCTTTAATACGTCCCCAAGCTTCAGTGACACTCGAGCGATGCAGTTCTGAGAATAACAGCCTGTGTCACCCAAGTGTCCTGCCTAAATCCAAGGGAAAAAACCACAACGGGCCGGTTCCATCGGAACTGGCCAATTAGTCCCAACACTAAGTTCCCTACCAGCAGGTAGCTTCACGTCAACTACCCCACAACACGCTGAGGTTGTAAGACTCACTGTCAGCTGCCTGTATAGCAATGTGAGGGGGCTGAGAGGAAAAATAGGTGAACTCCGAAATCTCCAAGCACACCTACAACTGAAAATGATCATTCTCACCGAAACATGGCTAACCCCCACTATCGCCGATAATGAAATCAGTATAGGTGATATGGTTTTGGTCAGGAGAGACAGGGATAATAAGGAAGGAGGGGGAGTTGCCATATACTTTGATAGGCAACTTAAATGTGTTCGCGCAACGGACCCAACACTTATTGAACTCCCAGACTCCATATGGTGTCATTTCACCGTAGGCCACACCAAGCATTTACTTGGTGGCATCTACCGATCTCCCACCTGTGGGGCAGAGCACAATCAGCTACTGCTCAGCACTATCACAGGGATACGAGACTTGGGCTATGACCAAATCACCATTGCTGGAGATTTCAATGCCCCATCACTGAACCTTGGCTCGGGGTATGCTAAGGGAAAATTCGGCCGAAATCTACTGCAAGCTATTCGGGACGCGGGACTGACTGAGGACGTTGGAGACGACACTAGGTGGGGCCCTAGTGGAAAGTCATCAAAACTAGACTACATTCTAACTAGTGACCAACTACTTGTCGAGAAGGTCCAGGTCATGACTCCTCTAGGAAGTAGTGACCATGCAGTCATAGGTTTCGACCTCGTTCTCCGTGAGCACTTGCAGTGGGACGCTACGCAACCATGTCTGTGTTACAGCAAGGCTGACTATGCTGAAATGCGGAGGCTCTTGTCCGATGCAGACTGGCCCTTAGCATGGGATGAGCTGTCTGTGGATGAACACTGGGAAGCGGTAAAAAAGACTATTCATACAGCGATCTCGGATACCGTCCCTTTAGTCACAGCACAGCCAAAAAGAAAATCATCATGGTTAAAGAGAGGCACGCAGCATATTCTGCAAGCAAAGCGGAAGGCTTGGTTTACGTGGCGCGTATCTGAAAGCCAGATCGACCATGATGCATACCTGGAAGTCAGGAACCGGTGCAATGCAAGAGTCAGGAGGGACAGAAGGTCATTCCAGGCTAACCTTGCTAAAAAACTCCTGGCAAACCCGAAGAATTTGTACCGATTCATGTCGGAAAGGAAACCAACCAACCAGAGGGCGTGCGCCTTAGTAGGCCAAAACGGTCAATATCTCACTAGTCTGGAGATGGCTGAAACATTTAGTTTAGCCTTCGCCAAACAGCTAAACAGCAATGTGGGTATTACCGTTACGAACCAAAATGGTGGCATGACTATTTCACAGGAGGAAGACCAAATAGCCACCCCTCAAATAAACCCTGCAATAGTACTGAGAAAGCTGCAGCGACTCATACCTGGGAAGTCCCCAGGTTGTGATGACATCAGGCCATCTGTTCTGAAACAGTGCGCCGAA